CACACACACCAACACACACACCCCCCCCCCCCCCCCACCACACACACCACACCACACACACACACCCACACCACACACACACACAACACAACACATATATATCATTATATTCTATATATTTGCTATAATATATATATATATATATATATCTATATATATATATACTGGGAGTATTATTCAGTGGGTCAGTTGATTCAATGGGTCAGTATTCCAAGAATAATGGAATATGCCACAACGGGAGCGTTGTGCCATATCCCATACCTATATATATATATATATAACGCATTATTCGAAGGTCATAGGTTCGATTCCTGCTCCCGGCTGGTTATTTTTTCATCCACTTTTCTTTCTTCTGATTAACATTCCATTGGTTCTAATAACTTCCCCTGTACATTTCTTGGCATTTCTGTCTGTTAGATCTCATTAATATTGTGTTAAAACACGGAAAAACGAGCCCTTATTTATACACTTCTTTCCCTTATATATATATATATATATATATATATATATATATATATTATAGCGCTTTGATTGCTTCAAGTGTGCCCGGACTTTCAGTTATGCCTTTTTCAAGGGTGTTAAATCGGTGTATGAAGTATGTCTCAAGTTATTCACGTTCTTGGTTTGATTTAAATCCTGTTTCTTAAAGTGCGACTGACAATTTGTCGAATGAGTGGCCGGGGAAGTTAAGGTACTTTGAAAGAGGTAGATTTGGGGTTGACTATGCGTGGGCTCCGTGAATATTGAAACAAATCCTAAAGGCTGTTTCCGTTTGTCCAATGTATTGCATGCCACACATGTTTGATAAAGCGTACTTACACACACCACTTGGCTATTATCGTGGGTCATGCTATCACATTTCAATGAACACCGGCTCATTGCGGTATACCGGCCTATGAAAAAGCAGATGAAGCGACCCGCAAAGTAATTCAAATGCAAAATACAGGCGAATTCATTTCAGTAAATCAGATGCTTCTCTGCTGGCTGAAAGGCTTGCTTCCGAAGAAAAGAAGAGGCTATGGAGCCTTTCGACGCGTTATTGTGATTTCTTTCACTCTATCGACTTACATCTAAGGACTAGACTCCCATGCCGAATTTTGCGACACCTGGAAACTCTCTACTACCGTCTCCAGCTGAACAGTGCTTATGGAAACAATTTATAGTATCACTTCAGTCAAGTAGAGAGTCCATACTGCAATTTCTGTGGCCCCATATAAACTGTAAAACATATCTTGTTTGAGTTCCGAGCGTATGTTGATGAGCGAGCGCTCTATGAACACTGCATGCATCTGTTAACCCAAATAACTTTATCAGTTGGTTGTGCCTTCGACCCTTTCCCCAACTTCATGCAACAGAGGCATGCGATGAAACTTTTATTCACGTATTTAGACAATATCGGTCAGCTAGACAAACTGTAGTGGCACCTTGAAAACTCGTACTAATTCACGCTGTCGGCACACGTCCCCACCCAAGAGACAAAAAAAAATGTCTATATGTTTACTTTTGCTTCTGTCTATTAGGAATTATCCTAATATTTTTTTCTCTCTCTCTTCTTGCCTTTCAGTCCCCAATCTTGTTCCCCACGCAGAGTAGCAAGTCAGCGACAGACACACGCTAGCTAAATTCTCTGCTTTTAATAAAGAGCTCTCTCTCTCTCTCTCTCTCTCAAGTAGATATGCGACATTAGAGGAATCGCATGTTAGATTTTCTTTTGTGTTAATTGAAAACTAGAATTGTGTGCTGGTTGCTTTGCTTGTCTCTCGCATCGCTTTTATTACAAGATATTCGGCATGAACAGTTGGAAGTTGAAGTATTGATTTGTGAGTTCACAAGCGTGTCTTTGAGGTTGCCTGTTTGTCGGTAGACGATGCTGGGAGCCGATGGGAATGCGCGTTTCAGACGTTCACTTTTTTCCAGTATGTTGCAAATTCGTTTCAGGATTTTGGTAACGTTGGAAAAGTATGTGCTGTAAGTTTATCAAAGGTGTGGCTGTTGCAGGTTCTGTTGTGGAGGCCGGTTCATAAGAAGGTCCTCATGCTCCAGTTTCCTAGCTTTTTGAACAGCGTCATCAATTAAATGTGGAGGATATTTCTGTTTATTGAAAATAAGTTTTAGCCTTTGTGAGCTCGCGTGGAAGTCAGTGCGTTTCGAGCAAATTCGTTTAAAACGGTGGCCCTGCACGTATGGAATGCTATTTTTAAAATGGCGTGGATGATCACTTTAGTAATAAAGGTACTGTCGTCGATCAGTTTGTTTGCGGTGGAGGGTTGTAGAAAGTTTGTCATCTTCTATTGTTATCGCAACGTCAAGGAAACTTACGATCACTTGTGAGTAAGTGTGTTTGAAGCGTATGCTTGGATTCAGAGCACTGTAAGTATTGATAAAGCTTAGTATAGTAGTTCATCCTCGCTGTGAGTTCTAGTACGAAAAACGTCGTTTTTCTAAACTTCTGAACCAATCTCTAAACTTCCTGTTTCGAATTTGGTTCGAGGGAGTTTGGGACAAAAATTCAGTTTCTAGTTTTCCCATGAAAATGTGAGCGTAGTTTGGTGCAAGCTTGGTACCCATGGCAGTTGCACTGAATTGTCAAAAATACTTTGATTGAACTCAAAGGAGTTAAGTTCCAAAACTAGCCTTATGAGACTTGCGATGGCAGGGAAATTGGGGATGCGATTCAGTCTATTGTCTGTATATGTATTTTGTAATGCCGCTATGCCATTGTCTTGGGAAATATTTGTATGCAATGAGGACACATCAAGAGTAGTTAGGTACGAATGTTTTGAAAGGTGCAGGCCTGAAATATCTCGAAGAAAATGTGTGGTGTGTTTTACATATGACCCGAGAGTGCAGGGAATGTGGCCTATTATTTGTCTACGTACCCTGATATGGGCTCGGTTACTCCGCCTATACTTGATATGATTGGTCGGCTTAGGTTACCGGGTTTGAGAATTTTCGGTAGTATGTAGAAAACAAGTGGACGAGGGTGTGCTGGTCGCATTAGTTTCTGCTCAATGCGTGTTATTCTTCCTTCTTCAAACAGCTTCTTCAGATCTGTTGTTACATACGCGTGTATTTCTAAGTAAGATCCACTGGGAGGCGTCCGTAGAATTTCAAGTCGTTTAGTTGACGGTATGCTTTTTGTAAGTAGTCGGTTGTATTCAAGCCTACACTTGCCCCTCTTTTGCCGGCGGGTTTTATCAATATATCAGTCATGGATGTTACGTTTTTTATGCTCTTTTTCTTGGGTTTTGTCGTGTTTTCACGCTTTCGCTTTTGTCTGTGGTACTCCTGTAATATATATCTCTGTACCACGTACTTGTCTCGGTGACTGTTTGAGTCCAATCGCTTGATTGGTGGCGGGGAGTCTTTGAAATGTTAGACTTGTTGAGGAAATATTGGCACACTCTCGATTTACCAGTGAAGTTGTCGAGGTCTTGTAATAAGTGAAACGCATCAAAAGATCGTCTAGTTGGATAGAAGTTTAGTCATTTAGATAATAGTTTTATATCGTCGTCAACCGTCGCAGCAGCCTCTACAAACACAGAATGCCACCCGTGCCTTCTGAAAATGTGGAACAACTTGAAGGCATATTCTGTATTGAAATTCAGTGTATTTTGTATTCACAATCGAGGCTAGTGAAGAGGGGTAGGCGAGCAGGGCTCTACAATAATATCGTAGGTGGCTTCATCTTCTATGCATATGGTGCAATGAGAACTTTTGCAAAATCAAAATTTTATCACGTCTCACTGAAGTAGAAGTAGAAATTAATGCTAGATGGGCACAGCTCAGCCGGAAGTTACACAAAAACATATAAATAAATGTAGCCACGAGTTCAACACTCTGCTCAGCCCAGTTTAACCTTGACAGTTTGGTTCCCACACAGCTACATCATAAACGGTAATATCGAGCAAGTGGAAGAGTGTTTATTTGAACACATGGGAGGAGAGCGAAATCCTTAGTCTGGCAGAGCCGCTTTCGAGCTAAGCAAATCCTGGTAAGGCTTTTCTCAAAAGGTACAGGTTGACTTGCATTTGGCAGTTTGGCTGTTACAGGGCAATAGGCATTTTTCTAGACCAAATGCTTTAAGCGATGAACGCACCTTTTTATCAGTACCAAGATAGCAAAATGGTGATTAAAACAGCGCTACAATCATACATGAGTGGTTTGCGTAATAGTTTCAGCCACTATGAGAAACGAAGATTTCAAAACCACACTATGAACCAAGAGGCATTTGTATAAATTGTCTTCATGACAGAATAATTTTTTTTCGCGTCATCTTTAGTTGAAGTAATAATAGATGGTGCCCATCTTGTACGTAGAGAAAAAATCTAATGGCAGGTTTAAAACTTCAAATGAAATGAATTTTGAGACACTGATCAGCGTCTACCAAGAAGATAATTATAATGATACCTGTAAATTCCTAAAACATAATGACGAGTCGTTGAGGTCAGCTATCAAAGATAACTGATTTTGACGGTGATTTGGAGTGTCTCTGTCGTAATCGGCATCTATCAAAGCCATTGTGCGTAGCGAGAATAGATATACGTTACAAGTAGAATAAAAATAAATCAATTTCTGGTTTTCATGTAATTTACAAGAGAACTTTGCCAATGCTTCATTCAAACTGTTAAGGACTACACCCAATGTAAGTGTCATGTTGGTTCAACAGTCTCGTTGATAGCTATGCAAGCTAACACACGGCATCACACCAAGTGAACTGCGCCAGGAAATAGTGATTTAAAGCTGCGCATCTATTACAAAAAGCAGAAGCTTAATGAAATCAGCTGCAAAAGTGTTAACAAAATGTGTACCCATGGAGGTGCCAATACGCATTGTATACTGACTGTGCTTACTCCGTTACTTTGTGAAATGTTGGTGAATGATGGCGTAGTGAGAAATGAATAATTGTATTTGAAGAACGTGATCCGTGGGTCACGCGCGGCAACTGTGCGTCTTGTTCTTATGGCCAGGAAACGTTCTTATGCTTCTATTAATCACAGGAACCACTTGCGCTTGGATCATTGAAGGTACTTGCGGTAAGTACCACTATCAAGCCTTTCAATAATAATAATAATAATAATAATAATAATAATAATAATAATAATAATAATAATAATAATAATAATAATAATAATAATAATAATAATAATAATAATAAACATGGGCTTTTACCTGCAAATTCAGGACGCGATAATGAGGCACGATGCAGTAGAAGGCTCGCGAAATTTGAAATATGGACTGGCATCGCACAGTACACCGGCCTCTAGGAATTCGCCTTTATCAAAGGGCGACCGCAATGGCCCAAGTTTAACACGTGATCTCCGGGCCACCAGACGAGTACTGTAACCACTGTTTTATTGGGGCATACCTTCAATAATTGCGTACAGCAACTATTCAACTATAACATTTCATTTCGACAGGTCTCTCTCGTCATACGTGACATAGAAACAGAACACAAGTTCACCTACCACACCCGAATAAAATGCTGATTGTGGCAGTGAAAGATTTAGAGGAATGGCGTCTGCAATAATTATGTTTTAATTTCAGTATCAATACGACAATTGTCACTACGGAAAATTGACAACGTTTGCTTTGCTGATACGCTACTTTTTGTGTTTTTTCTTTCTTTCTTTTTTTCTTCTTCTTTCTTTCTTTCCTTCTTTCTTTCTTTCTTCTTTTATTTTTTCTTTTACTCTTTGTTTCTCTCTTTTCTCCTTTCTTACTTCCTTTCCTTTTTCTTTTATTTTTTTCTTTTACTCTTTGTTCCTCTCTTTTCTCCTTTCATACTTCCTTTCCTTTTTCTTTTTTTACATTCCTTATATGCTTTTCTTTTCCTCCTTCACTTCTCCTTATTTTTTCTTTCTTTTCTTTTTTATTTCTTTTCTTCCTGTGCTGATTTCTTTTCTTTGTGTTCTTACCTTCTTCCATTCCTTCCTTCCATCTTTCTCCCTCTTTTTTCTTCCTTTCTTCATTTTTTCTTTTTTCTTTTACTTTCCTTTTTTCAATGACTGATTGCCACGCAGTGCATGATCGAGAGAGCATCAATAATTTGGAAATAACTGTAAAGTAATATATATGAATGTCGAATGATACAAGACAAACACCTGTAGGAACCTTTTGAAAATTGCGTGTAAGCATTGTAATAGCAAGCTGTACATTTGTGTAGGACTAAATTCCCATTATTTTCTTCGAGAGAAGTTGCTAGAACATTGCGTGGGAGTCATAGACTAACTCTTGTCTCTTTTTCAGTGCCTTACCGTTTACGTCCTTACAACGTCTCCCACTACAGTGGCTGGACAATTTGGATGCGACTTGATTACAGTCATATCCAGAATATTCGGCAATGAGGCGTCTACAACACTAACTCCACTACTGTGTGCACTTCAAAATGCGCTTAACCTCGATTGCACTGGCATCTCATGCTGAAATGATCTCAAGGAATTGTGCTTTAATTGGGCCATCCGCAACAAAATGTAGCGTGGGTGCAAGTTGAGTTAAAGAGCACCCTAATAAGTCGACCAAGAGAACGACCACAGATACCTACGCATAAATCGGCGCACGCGCTTGTTTCTTCTTTGTGGGCTTGTTGTGTTCTGCTGCACATTGGTACGAAGGAATCTGGCAAACGAATGTGCACATTGAAAACCATTTGAGAAGCTGATATAAAGAGAAAGGGCAAAATATGACAAGAAAAGACAATTTGTTCTACCATTTCTAGGTCTATTATCCCATTTCTACCTTTTTAATTTTTGTTGTGGTAGTACTAGCGCCAGTGATCTTTTCCCCTAATAAAAATAAACAACAAAATAATAAAATTTTATATTTCTTGAAGATAAACCTTTACCAAACTTCAAGAAAACGCAAACATACGTAATTAGGGCAATTCTCATTGTCCATGAAACCCAAATTTCAAGGCATATGACTTCGGCTAAAGTAATGGCAATTGTACACTATACATATCAAAAAGATACCTGTGCTAAACACAGCGGCAAGGTGAGTATAATGGCGGCTTTGTGTACGAAAATCTTCACAAGTACCAGATTTTGTTCTGCAATCGTTGTGAAACCCAGTGAACCTGAGTACAAATTACTACGCTTCAGTTGCTGCTACCACCAAAATAACCTTTTATAAGTAAGCGCTGATTTCATCTGAAAAATAATAAATTCGCACAAAGAGCATTTACCATCACGACAAAGATGCTTTACTCTTTTAAACAGCATGCCTATATGTAGGAGAAAACGTATGCAGGCAGAAATATTTTACAAGCTTTCAAGCCCAATTCAAATTTACCAATACTACGACGGAATGGTTGCTTTCAATAGGAGCGTTTAACACCGTGGCCTTTGTTCCCGAAATTCATTCCAATAAGGCACCAATTTTTAATATTTTTGTTTTATGTATATTGCTTTTTGAAAAAATGAGAATAATCGCTTTGAGTTTGATGCACAACTAAAAAGTGACTTACTTCTGTGCAAGAAATAAAAGGGCAATTCGGTTGGATGTCCATAGCGAGGCAATTTTAGGAGCTATGTAGAAACTGGCTGCTTCAGAGTTCATGCTTATTGCTAACACCTGAATACATATCGAACACAGGTGTTGGCATATGCTTTCACAAGTCAAGGAGCCAGAGGCGTTGGAACGTAACACTTTACAATGTAGACGGAATGCTCATACTGTGAAACAAAGTCCACCTGAGGCATGGGAGCGTGATACGCTAGCAATATTCAGTCATATTTACACTTGTAGTAAACACTAAAGCAAAGCCTTCCTTTCGTATGTAAATAGGGGAAATAATGATAGAGAAAAACATATAAATTGCCAAAAAAAAAAGAAATTGGAAAGCACTTTTTTGAGCACGACATTGACAGCGCGCTCATGATCACGTGGAGTTGAAAAGCTGCCGTACAAACAAAATATTCTGAGACATTTTATATGAAAACACGTAGCCAACATCGCTAACAGTTACGGGACATGAGCAAATAGCCTTTCACGCTGGTAAATATGTCAGGTGTCGGAGGTTTCAAAAGTCGTTTACGCTCATCAATTTATCCCGTCTAGAATATTATAGAAATGTTTCAATGTCCTCTATGATAAAACGAATTAGCTTTCCCCAAGTATGGCTTGCAAGTATAATTTTTTACACCATCATAAACAATTGTTCTGAACATCAAGCTAGATGCTCATTTCATGTCGTGACAGCTGAGTTCTCACCCCACTGACTTCTTCACAGCCGGCTTCAAAGAGGCCCAAGAACAATTTTTGAGCATGTTCAAAAACGCCATAGATTAGTAGTTGAAGATCGCGAGAAAACACGCGGAAAATAATATTCGTTACTTCCGAGTACCGTGACGCCACTCAGCGGTGGCAACCGGAAGCTCTGTTGAGGTGATGTAAGTTTTGCACCTGCTTGAAACAGCAGACACTTATGCTAGTTTTCACGCGTTTGTGGTCCTTCTTCAACGTTGTGAACGGTCTCGATATTACCTTAACCCTTTAAATTTCTCAAGTTAAAGCGAAAGTAGCAAGACAAATAAAAAGCCGACTGAGTTCGCTGCGACCCTCGATGCTCACAGCCTATGTACACCGGGAGAAAAATTAGGCACCCCGGTAAAATTAGCGCCCCATAAAGCCATCAATGGTTAAAAAGGTTCACTTAAGTAGGCAAATAACTAAGGCCCGTAAATGTATGCAGCACTCATTTTCTGCACGTGTACAGCAACTTCCATGTTTGCGATTCTCGCACTTAGTTCGTCTGCTGAATACGATACAATTTTGCGCATACTTATCTTTCTATTATGTTACCCGGCACTTAATTACTTAATATAGAATGTTTGTGCTTTCCTACATTCTCAAGAACATTATTGCAAGGGCCACCGATGTGCGAAGTATTTCATACTTTGCCAAAAAAGTACTCTCCGATATCATCTCTTTCGATGGGATCGTCTCAACGACCGGCATATTGGATGTATAGTCGCGCCACCAGTAGGTCTATCGTGAAAGTTGCCAAGAGAGAAGCACGTTGCCTGGAACTCAAAATAAGTTCTCAAAGACAGCTAAGTATTACTTTCTCTTCTCTCGATAAATGATGAAACAAGCTCAAAAATTGCTCGTTAAAGCCATTGTATCAACCACTAGTTGATTTGCGCATGGTGTGCTTGACTGGTTAAACGAGTCGCCATAGAATGCAGTGACTTCTCCCCGCGCGTGCTTGCGATTTCACTGAAATTTCACGCATGCTAAGAAAAAAAAAACCGCGAGTGCTCATGGTCACAAGGCGCGCAGGAGGTATTTGATTTTCCCGAGCCGTGCCTCCCGCTCAGCTTCTAGCGCTATGGTTGGAACAAGCGAAGACAGAACGCAGTTGCAGCTTGCAACAACTGTTTGTAAAACCGCTTGTGGTGGATGGATTTTAAAACTTTTTGTGGAGATGAATTCGTGAGGCAATAAGCTCCTTTATTGGGTACTATAAATATGTTGAACACCCAAGGGTAGATCGCGAAGGCTGAGCGGGATTGCGAACGGAGCCCGCTGTTCCAAGCAGGATCGCTCTCGCAAAATCTGCGATTGATAAGCGGAAATCTAGCGAATGAGCATGAGAGGGTTCGAGAGAGTGCAAAGCGTTTTCCGGACATCCATCGGTGATTAAATGAAAAGGCAGGTGCACAGAATACGTAACTAGAACTTCCGGTAAAATCCGCTTATTTCGATGAAGCTACCCGTCATCTGCAGCTGCTCTCAATGTGTCATTGGAACACACAGTTCAGGCTCCCAATCAGCCATTGGAATGTGATTGCTCCGCACAGAGCAGAAAAACTTGATCTGAATTTGCCACTGGAATTCAACATTAGGTACTTAAAAATGTTGCAAAGGCTGTTTAAAGAAGCTCGTGTCGAACGTAACTTCCTGTGTCGCTTTACACCAGCGACGTAGCGCTTATTCCCTCGTCATCCGCTGGCAATTAGACTGAATATTACTGAAAGTTTTGACAGATTAGACTTTGCCTTTTTATGAAAAGCGCGTATGCTTATGTTTATTCAAAATAACAAATGTGATGTCTTGCTAGTTCATCACCTAATATTGATTGCTTCGTACATTGCGATGTTAAAAATGATATACTTAAGTTAATGTCAATTTATGGTGTGAAAATATTGATAATCAACCGGCAAGAGTGCTTAACAACCTGTCAAATAGCTGGATGTGTGCTTTACAAGTTTTTATGATCAGAATGCATGCTCCGAAGTGGTTTTGTATGGAGAAAGTGACCACACGCCATTTTCGCTTTGATAACCTCGCAAAAAAAAAAAACAAGTCCCAAAGTGGAGTTTATATAGAGCTGTTACCCCATGCATCCGTCGTACGCTTCACCTTGTACAGTGGAATATCCTTAAAGGATAGAGACTTTTCGGTCGATGTGCGCTTAAACATAGCGAGCAGTGAAGAGGTCGAAGCGAGAGAGATGACATGCGGTGAGCGGCGTCTCGCCAGGTAGAGAGTGACGTCAACACGCAGGCACTGCGAGGAAAGGCATGACCTACTTGGCTCCGCCAAAACACCTGCGGCCAGGGGAGCGTGATGCCGACAGAGAGACAGCACTACACAGGCTAGTCAAAGAGCTGCTTCGCATCTAAGGGCTCCTAACTATTCTTGGTGCTGATAATAAAATTATAGGAGCTGAGAGATCATATGTACATACTGTATGAAACAATAATAGAAAAGCAATCTCTGACAGGACCTTCACAAATCAGTTCAATATGTATTTCTTTCTTCAGGTGCTTTTGAGGCCCAAACGAAGCGTCATCCTGAAAATAAGCTATATCACACTTTCCTACGGTCTGCACAGATTCCGCGTTATTAATACCAACGTCAGACGAAGAGATAGCATTCATTGTGTCCACACTTAAAACACATGCTCGCCCGCTTACAATGAAATTAGAGTTCAACCTGCCGAAGCAGCTATATGGTATTTTTCTCTTCCTCTAACTTATATATGTAACTGGCATTTTCGCTAAGTGAAAGTTGCATGGGTTTTTATTGTACTTGAAGGCAGTAGGATAAAATTTGCCCCCACATCCCCGAATCGAATCGTTAGGATATAAATGCATTTCTTGCGCCATGAGTGCACGGCGTAGTAATTTCAACGGCACAAACTGAAGAGACAAGGATTTCTACCGTAATCATGATTTAGATGCTTCGCATCTCAATTGACCTGCACAATATTTGACCAGTAGCACTAAGGCTTCTGTTGAAAATGAAAGTGGCTTGTGACGGGCCCACCAAGACTGACTTCAGAAACATAAAATTTGGGGTGTCACAAATATCAATTTTTGCTAGCTTGCTTTCAGATGCGAATCTGGTCTTTGACAAGCCTGTGTAACGCTGTACCTGCGTCCAGACCAGCTCCCTCGCTGCAGTTGTTGCAGCGGTGCAAATTAGCTCCCGCCGTTCTAGCATTGCGCAGTGATGTCTCTTTTCCCCACCTGCCAAGCGCTAGCCGCGTGCCAGCTCTCTGTTGCTTCACCCCCTACCTCACTTGCAATGCTCGAGTCGACTCCTCACGTGGGCATAATCTGACCAGCGCCAACTCTCGATCTGTCGCCAAGCAGAAGCCTCGAGCTAACGGGTGCTGTCCACATTGTCGACGCCTCACGGTGTCGACAATGTGGGCATCCGTCCCTGCACCATGAAGATAGGCAGATGCAGTGCTGTCTGGGTACTGTCGTCTGTGCGTAATACAGCATGTCG